CCCCCCCCCCCCCCCCCCCCCCCCCCCCCCCCCCCCTCCCCCCACGCGGGCGCGCGGCCCCCCCCCGGGGGGGGCCGGGGCCGGCGCCGGAGTCCGGGGAGGAATGTGGAGTTGGTGGGGACAGAGTTTCAGCTTGGGAAGATGCACAATTTCTGGAGATGGATGGCGGTGGTGGTTGTGGAACAATGTGAATGAACCTGATCTTACTGAACGGGACACTTAAAGATGGTTCAGATGGTAAATTTTATGTCATGTGTATTTTCCTGCAACACAAATGGGGAAAGCAGCTGGGTTTTGGAAGTGAACAGAGCAGGGTTGGACTCTCACCTCTGACACTGGTCGCTGGATGACCTCGGGTGACCTCGGGGGTGGCTGTTAGTGGCCTGCATGTGGCAAGCGCTCAGAACAGGCTACCTCCTCTTAACTGGTCATTGCGTGTCTTTGACTCTAACCGCAAGGTGGCTGGTTGGATTTTGCCCATCGCCTCCACCCCCAGGCCCATACGTACAACCTGCCGGCCACTCGGAGCTCCTAAGCCTGCCACCAGTCTTCTCTCCAGGAACCTCTCCTGGGGACAGTTAGAGGGGCGGAGCGTGTCCCAGCCAAAGACACAGGTAGGACCTTACGTGCTTGTGTATGCACCTGCCGTCTCTGGAGGGGAAGTATGGACCTGGGAGGGACACGGGTGGGGAGCTTCTCCCTGTGAAACCCGTTCATGCCCCTGGAATGTCTTCCCACAGGCTGCGTCTATGTAAATCACATAAATAAATACACAAGTCCGTCATTACCGAAGAGGGGCCCCGTTCCCTCCTCCCTTTCCCTCGTCCCTCTCCTCAAGGCACTGCCGTCTTACATTAGCCCCTAGCTCTCCAGCCAAAACTGCTGCGGCCCTTGTTGAGGAATTCGGTGGATGTCTCCCTCTTTCTCCCTCTTCCTGTCAGCTCCGTGGCACTTTGAAACACCACTTTCCTCGGCTTCCGGAAAACCAGCGAAATCTATTCACGATGGGGAAGGGCCGTGCCTTTGCAGCCACCGTTGGAACTCCTATGGCAAAGGGCACTGCCTGGCATGCTTGTACGTGCTCAAAAAAAAAAAAAAAAATTTTTTTTTTTTTTTGAATGAACACACCGTTAAACCAACAAAATAAAAAATATATAACAACGAGCCTCAGTGCAAAAGTAAGCTCAGGCCTAATGGCACTGACACACTCCCCAAATCATGCAGGTGTGCAAATGGCCAGAAATAAAGGCAAAGGCCATCAGTTTTTAAATAAAGTAGTCCTGGGTGCGGGATTATGTTATTGTTTTGCAGAACGTTACCAACAGAGAAACCAGGTACGTGTCGATGTTCATGCAGGCTCTCTTCAGTATTGTCGCAACTCCGTGGGAACGAAACGAAATTATTCCAACATAAAGAGCTTAATTTAGGTAATGTAGTAAGGGCAAACCTGATCTGTCCGATGAAGACAAATCTGTCGATTTGTGCATCATCAATGAACAGAATGCATCAGATGTTACTGGCAGTTTGGTCAGGGCAGGGGTGCCTGGGTGACTCAGTCAGCTGAGCGTCCAGCTTTGGATTTTGGCTCAGATCATGATCTCGCGGTTTGTGGCTCGGAGCCTGCTTGGGATTCTGTCGCTCCCTTTCTCTCTGCCCCTCCCCTGCCTGCTTGCTCTCTCTTCCCTTCAAAATGAATAAATGAATTTAAAAAAAGGACAGAAGGCTGCAGGGGCAGATCATGTACCTAAAAGGGGAGAGATGGGAAAGGGGATTTTTAACGGCATCATGTGGTCGATGTTGCCTGTGTTTGGCAAGGTCTTACGAGAAGATGCGATCAGCCAAAAAACTTTCCAGCTTGTGAACAGACATTAGAAGTAAGAAGGACGGTCCAGGTATTTGAGGATTTGCAACGTTAGGTAAGCAAACTGATTCGGGGCCCTAAATGGCAAGAAGCAAATGTCGAGAACCCTTGTGTGACAAAGGCCTCCGTGCAGTGATCAGATGAAAAATGTGCTGCCGAGGCAAACTTTTCAGGTGGACACAACGGCTCAGGGAAAAAAGCGTTAAGGCTTTGGCTTTTGCACATAAGTCCCATAGCGTCAAAGTTCCAATCAAGAGAGAGGTATGAGGGTGAGGGAGCAAAGGAATAACAACGGACTTACGAGCCGAGTCTCACAAAAAAGTTGTGAATGGGGCTTCTGGCCCATGTCGCTGGTTGGAATCCGTTAGGTAAAACTCCTGCTGCGTTTATAAGATAGCCAATTCTGACCCAAACCCCCACGATCCCGAGGCTCCAAAAGTCTCAGCTCAGAACCGAAAACGACCTTGGGGCTCTAGTCTCCTAGGGCAGGATGGGGATTAAGAAAGCTGGGCAGCCTCTCAATTCAGATTCCCCAGTGTGGTGTTTGGGTGTGGCCAGAGGGGGCGATGGCAACGGCAGAATCTCACAGAGGGTGGCGCTAGAGGCCGCAGAGAACGGCAGGGCGGAGTGGGACCTACGAGGGACACCTGCCATGCCGCGTTTAAGTGGCCTTACAGCAGAACTGCTTCCCCTTTCCGGTTACTTCTCTGTTAAGGATTAGGTGGGGGTGTTAAGCAGATGACTTTTCTCTTTAGTTATGAGGTCTAATAGAGGAGGAGGTGCCTAACCACTCAGGTGGAGACATCCTGGGCCTTGAGCTGGATGTGGCTGGCCACTAGATGATACTTAGGGTCATCTCCCGTGGAACAGGATTAGTATCTCTGCGGGAAGAAGACACCATATTCACTGGTCGAGAGGGCACACGGAGGTAGCCTTCTAGGAACCCCCTCCCCCCCCCATTTGATTCTCCTCTCCTTCCGGGCACATGAGTGGTTTGTACCTCTCGGCGCCCCTGCAATTAGGTATGGCCACGTGCCTAGCTGTGGCCAGCGGGCTCTGAGTGAAAGGGAAGCGTATCGCCTGCAGGCCAAATTATTCATCCTTCATGCGAGACCCTCTGTTGTTCTCTTCCTTTCTTGTGCTCTTAAGGAAGAGGTCTAGGGTTAAGTCGATGGGCTAAAAGCTTGGAGCAGCCAGGATGCGAAAATTCACCTTGACCTTGCCCTGGAGGGTTGCCCGGACCACAGCCATTTTGTGTCAGTGAGAAATTTGTTGTGTTAGGCCTAATGAGTTTTTGCTGTCTCTTTGTTCAGCTACTGTAGCGGCAACAGGATCTGTCATCACTAATGCTGCCCCAGAGCCCAAATGGTAGAGTCGGGATTCAAATGTTGAGCCTTGCACCACCCGCACGTTATAGGAGTTCATAGGATTGTGGTGGGGATGGCCATCGTTAAGGCTTCGGCGGGTCTGAGTCTGACAAACTTCTCCCACGTGCCCACAGAATCACGTCTGTAGAGACTGAATGCTGCTCCCTTACGAGTGCTGGAGAAACTTGGCCACATTCAGCCATCCCTGTCATATCCAATCTATTGCTCCTGTAGAGAGGGGTGGAAAGGATTTTCTCTCTTCTCTTCCGGCACTTAGCTGAGACCCCTGTAATAGATTAACAAGAGAAAAACAAGTTTCTTAACATGTACACCTCATGTATCCATGGGGACACCCAGGGAAGAATAATCCCCTGAGGTGGCTTAGAATTCAGAATTAAATACCAGCTCAAGTGGGAAAGAAGAGGGAGAGGGGGGAAGTAAGCCTCTAAGGGGAGAGTAAATGATTTCTGGGAAAGAGAACGGACCTTTAGAGCAGATGGGAGGTGTGACAGTTTGTGATGAAGTTTGTCAGGGTGTGGGGTTGACTTTTAGTCTCTTCTCTCGTGGTAAGAGTCAGTCCTCCCTGGTGGATAAATTCCCGGGAGGGGATCTGTGTGGCAACTGTTGTTTCTTTTGGGGGTATCGGTCTTTAGACAGATAATGGGAGTTCAGTGACAGCCTCTCCCTGTATTTGCTGTTTTCCAAGTGCCCCTGCAGCACCAAGCAATCCATATATCAAAAAGCAGCAGACTTGGGGGTAGCATGTCCTGCGTGGCATATTCTGCTACCCTCTGATCTCTCGTTTACAAAGTCTTAAGTTTCATACATTGATTAGGCCACACCGACAAGCCCTCTTCTGTTTTCGGCCCCGGAGAAACGGCTACTCAGGGTGAGTCTGAGGGGCTTCCGGGAATACCGTGTGCTGGTTTTACCCTGAGCCCACATCTGTGTGCAGTGTTCTGTGACCTTCGCTCGTCCTTGGATGGTTCAATCTGGACACCCTGAGGGAGATGTTAGAGGGGGGGACTTCAGGCTCCATTCCAAGCCAGAGAATTCTAGAACTGCCCTCAGGTAGCTGAAAACTTAGTCTCCATGAAAATCGGTCTAGAAGATCTGGCCCTCTAGCTGGAGATGTTTTGAATCATCTTACAGGACGATGATACTCTAGGGCAAGTATCTCCAATATCCTCAGGGGCCAGCAGGGTGCTGCAGATGAGAGAACCAGCCAGTGACATCCGCATGTCCCACACGTTGTCTCAAGTGGAGAGTTGCTACAGAGTTCTGGCAGATTGTTAGCCCGTGGGAATAGAAATGTGTTGTCACATCTTGACATTTTTCATTAGGATCCAGAAATGGAGCTCTATCTGGAAACCTCCCCATTTAAAAATGTTGGTAATTAATTAAAAACAACACAATAGACAATAGTCACAACTCCATGGCCTATAGAACATGGTTAGAGGGCGTTCGGTCGTTCAGCAAACCCTGCCCTGTGATGGACATTTGAGCGAGGGGAACAGACTGGCTAGAGCTATAAGGGTACGTGTTGAGAGGTACCAAGCGGTCAAGTTGACTTGATTTTGGCCCTGTATTTGGAATGAAGGGTGGACCCCAAAGGACTGACAAGTTTGAACTTAGGTAATAAGGAGGCAGACTAGCAAGGGGGTGGTGAGGAGGGAAACGTGAGCTTTGAATTCAGAGACTTGGGTTCAAGCCTTGCTCCCCCACTTAGCAGGTGTACGAGTAAGTTGCTTCACCTGAGTCTAGGTTTCCTATCCCTGAAATGGAGAATAAATCCTAACAGGGTCATGAGAATTAAACTACATTTATACATAAGAAAATGTCTGCCACCTGGTAGGGGCCTAGTTTGTCCACTTCCTTTCAAAGGCTTGAGAGAGAGGAAGAGATTTGATAACAGCAGTGTTTCTGGAAGGATGGCCACATGGTTGTGTGGGCACTGGAGACAGAACGACCGGCTAGGTGTCAGGCAGTGTGACCAATTTGAGAGGACAGGTAATCACATCCATGTGGCCTTGGAGCCAAGCCCATCCCTGGTGACAAGACCGTAAAAGTTGACCTCCTGGCTCCTCCACGGGTAAGGTGATAGACAGGGTGCAGTACATAATGCCAAGGAAAGCTTGGCTGCACCACCTGTCCTGTCTGCTTCCCACCCTATCCTCGGCATCCTTAGGGCAGCTGAGAGAGGCAGGGCCCGGCCCCATCAGTGCTGATCCAGGGCCTCGGGCACAGGCAGGCCTTGACCTCTGCTGGGTCCCACAGGCAACTCTCCTCTATCTTTCATAGCCGGGGAGTCTTCTGCAGAGTTCTCAACAGTGTTCTGAGCTGCTTAGCAAACTCATCTTCAGAAGACACTTGTTTTGAAAGCTTAGGTTTACGTTTCCAAGTCAAAATGCCCCAAAGCACGGTCCTTGCGAAGAACTAACAGAATTAAAAAAAAAAAAAAAAAAAAAAATCAATATGAGACTCGCCCCTCAGGAGCCGTTAGAAGAGACAGGTTTACCCACTAATTAGAACTAAACCGTCATTGCCAGTCAACATCACCAGCTTTCCAAAAGTTTCTTCAGGTGAAAATGATTTTTCCTGTGCATCAGAATCACCTGGAGGGCTTGTGGGCCCCCCTCCCCGCCCCTCCCCAAGTCTGTGAATCAGGTCTGGGGTGGGGACTGCATTTCTAACACTTTCTGGGGTGATGCTGAGGCTCCTGGTCAGGGACGCTGTGTTCAGCGCCACTTCTGTGACGGATCTGCTTGTATGTATTTAGTTCACAGAGCTGGCGAGTGATCCAGAGTGCATGGGATCCTATTTCCCTCATGAGTAAACAGAAGCTAAGGTTAAGTGGCAGAAATAGGGTCAAACAATGCCTACAAATCTAAAAGCCACAAACTTCACTGCAAGCCAAGAAATGGAAAAGG